CGGCCGCCAGGTCCCGGTCCCCGGCGGCAGGTGCGCGGCGGGCCCGGGGCGGGGGGAGGGGACCGGGACCGGGGCCGAACCTCAGGCCGCGGGCAGGCGGGCTCCAAACCCGACTTTTTGCCCCCCCTCCAAAATCGCCGTGGCCGGCGCCCTCTGGTGGCCGAAGGGAGGCGCGGGGGGCGCCGCGCGGCCCGGTGGAGCTCGGCCTGGCAGCTGCGCGGGCGACCGGGCCTTCGCGCGGAGGACGGACGGACAGTGGTTGGAGACGCGGGGCTCGCACGGCCGTCGCACGGCTGCCGCTGCCACTGCCTCATGGCTGTCGCGTGGCTGCCCCACGGCTCGGGGGGGGCACTGCAGGGGCAGGCGGGGCTCTGCGCGGACGGCTGCACGGGGGATGCAAAACGTGCCCGTGCCAGCCCCGCTGCACCCAAACCGCTCAGCCCGGTCCGGAGCAGGGGAGGCGGGCGCCATCCCCGTGTCCCCAGTGCCATGCTGTCTCCGCAGGGTGCCCATGGGCTCTCCGCCGGCTGCCCCGAGGCTCCTCTACCGCAGCACCCGCCTGCTCCGCACGGCCTTCCAGCAGCTCCACCAGCAGCAGCAGCGAGACGATGTCTTCTGCGACGTGGTCCTGCAGGCCGAAGGTGAGCAGGCAGCGTGGCCAGAAGCAGCGGTGCCCTCGAGGTCCCCACGACCCCCCAAGGGAGGAACGGGGAGAGCGAGGAGGGCTGCAGGGTGGTGACAGCCACTGTTGCTTTGCAGGTGAGGCAGTTGTGGCCCACTGCTGCATTCTCTCCGTCTGCAGCCCCTTCTTCATGGAGCAGCTGGGCCGGGAGCTGCCCCCCCGGGGTGGCAGGGTGGTGCTGGAGCTGGGGGGGCTGAAGATCAGGGCACTGCGCAAGCTGGTGCGCTTTCTCTACACGGCCGAGCTGGAGGCTACACGGGAGGAGGTGCAGGAGGTGCTGGTGGCTGCCCGCCGCCTCCGTGTCACCGAGCTGGAGTCACTGCAGCTGCGGGGTGGCCGCCTGGTGAGGCCAGGACCCCAGCGGCAGCTTGACCGCTCCTGCCTGCGTGCCCCCCGGATTGGATCCCCTGTGGCTGTGGGCACCAAGGCTGAGCCCAGCGATTCCCCTGGGAGCACCAGTGACCCCCCACAGGGGCGGCCATGCTCACCGGGAACCGTGGACCCCAGCCCTGGCCCCGTGGAGCGGGTAAAGCTGCGGAAGGTGGAGAGTGGGGGGTGCTGGGAGGTGGTGCGGGAGAGGCAGCCCCCCACCGCCGTGGCAGCGGGCAAAGCAGGGGCTGTGGAAACACAACGCCCGCCAGACCTGGGTGCAGTGGCGCAGGCAGACAGGCGCTCCTCACCCTGGCGGTCCCCCCGGAGGAAGCAGGGCCAGGAGCCCCCTGTACCCCAGCAGGGCTGCGGGCAGGAGGTGCTGCCGGGGGACCCCCTGGGTGGCCCTGAGGAGGAGGAGGTGGACGTGGGGACAGTGGAGCCGTGCCTGCCCCCTGACACCCGCTGTGTCTGGCCCTGTCCCTCCTCCGGGTCGGACGAAGAGGTGGACATCCTCACCTAGGGGTGGCTGTGCCCCCCCACTGCCCACCCTCGGGAATGCAGCCCTTCCCCCGTGAAGGGGCTGTGTAGCACTGAAATAAAGCATTGGAGCCAGCTAAGCTGCACTGTGGGGCTGCCGAGCTTTATTAAGGAAGAGCAGGGGGACAAGGGGAGGTGAGGGAGAACAAGGGGAGGTGAGGGGGGACAAGGGGAGGTGAGGGGGGACAAGGGGGGTCCGGTGGCAGCTGCCCATGGCAGAGCTGCAGCATCAGAGACGGGACTGGGGCTGGCAGGTGCCCCCCACTTCGTCTCGCCTCTTCATGGATGCTCGAGCCATGGGTGCCGGTCCCGGCCAGGCTGTGGGGAGAGGGCTCTTGGGGTACAGTCTCTGTCCCGTGCCATCCCCATCCCATCCCTCTTCCT